CATTTCCCCCCTCAGTCTCTCTCTCTCCTTCTCCCGTTCATTTCCCCTCTCAATCTCCCTCTCCTTCTCCTTCTCCCGTTCATTTCCCCTCAATCTCTCTCTCCTTCTCCCGTTCATTTCCCCTCAATCTCTCCTTCTCCCGTTCATTTCCCCTCTCAATCATATCGTCGCTCTCAGTGCCTCTCGCCCTCTCACCGTTTCATCCCGTGCCCTCCGAGGGCGGCTGGCCCGGGTGGGTTTGGACGGCTCGGCCCTGCTATAGGAGCACATGCCGGCGGTGGAATAGCTGGTGCCAGGGAGATTGTAGGGGTCAATGCTGGACTGGGGTAGAGCTGGAAGCTGAGCCTGGGCCTGAGATTGAGCCGACGACGAGATGACGGTCGGCTGTACCATCCATTGCAGATCCTGGCTGGTGGTGATAGCCGTCAGGGTTGGCACAAACGATCCTGGCATTTCTCCGACGCCCGTGGAACACTCCTGGAAGAGATGGCAAAATATTACAAACAAATGGGGAGAGAGAGCGGGCTGTAGCTTCAGCCAGTAACCAGAGAGACACGGAAGGCTGCCTGTTCCGTTGCTACAGTCAGACATGACCCGTCATCACATCCACCACACCGTTCCCCATCCCTTCCCATTAGGCCTCGCCAAATCTTCCCCATTCATCTCCCCACAACGATCCCACTCTCAGCTTCCGGCTTGAATGTGAAAGAGGAGAGTTACACTCCGAACGTCAGGAGGTTTCCGCGTCAATTTCACCCTCCCTCCATACAGGGTAGGTAGGGAAGGGGTGGTAGGTGAACAAGAGAGACGTTTGAGGTATGAGAAAGAAGAGAAAAATAATGTTACAAATTCTGCCCCCTTTCTCCAACTGGTATATTTGCCTGACGCCTCCCCCCCCCCCAAAATCACCAGTGAAGGAGGCTTCACAAAGTGCTGGAGAACCTCAGCAGGGTCTAGCAATGAAAGAGAAACAGATTTTACATTTCGCTCAGTTCTGAGGAAGGGTCACTCGACCCGAAACGTTAAATTCTGCTTTCTCGCCGCAGATGCTACCAGACCTGCCGAGTTTTTTCAGCAATTTCTGGGGGGTTTTTTTGTTTAACATTTCCAGTCTGCATTCTCTTCTTCAGAACCCAACTGCAATTCCGAAGAAGAGTGACACTGGGCTCGAAATGTTAACTGTCTCTTTCTCTCCACAGTTGCTGTCAGACGCTGCTGAGTTTCTCCAGCAAATCCTGTGAGATTCAGATTTCCAGCATCCCTGGGCATTTTGCCTTTTAATTAAGGGGTCTCGCCATTTACAGCATTGCAAGTTACCATGCAAGAGCAATAACCATAATTGCCCCCAAAAGATGTTACTTATTCTCCCTTGATCCTAGCTCTACCCCTATCCCACTGTTTCCAACCCTCCTACTCCCCTTACATTCAAGTTCTGGCGGCCGAGTCAACGGGACTAATAGAGGGACTGTTCCGCGCTTGACCGTTAGGGGACGCTTTCACTGCTGTCAGTGAGGAAGCCTTCCGAACCACATCAGTTTCTGCTAATTTCCGCGTCTAACTGAGATTCGTGTCCTCGGAATGAGAGAATTTTTCTTCAAAATACCAGCAGATCTCGACACCTAAAATGTTAGGGAGCCTCGCCCACGCCTCCCCCAACTTTGGGACAAATCCCACCCACACACACCTCCTCAGCCCCCCACCCGACAAGAAAAGCTTCCCGTACAAAATCTCTGTAGATCAGTGACAGTTTCCATGTAGCTGTAATTTTACGCCCACAGGAAAAGCCAAGAGGTGAAATGATCATCTCCAGTTTATTCTTTTTGGGTTTGGACGGGGGAGATGGTCCTCGTTTTGTGACTACCCCGCTCGAGCGGATTAATTCTGCAGCGCCTTGTTGTCTTATTGTTTGTTAAATTTAGAAGTAGGAACATTTTATTGCAAAAAAAAAACCCACCATTGAGATCAAGCAGGATTTAAAATGGAACAAACAAACACAGAAAGCGCCGGAGAAACTCAGCAGGCCTGGCAGCATTTGCGGAGAAAGAGTAAATTAGAGTTGACATTTCGAGTCCAGTGACTCTTCAACAAAACGGCTCTGAGGAATGAGATGTGTTGTTTTGAACAAAAAAACTGCAGACGCTAGAAATCAAACAAAAACAAATTGCTGGGAAAAAAAACTCAGCAGGTCGGGCAGGAGAGAAAGCAGAGTTAACGTTTCGGTATCTGGTGATCCTTCTTCAGAACATGATCCGGATGAACTTTTCCCAGCAATTTCTGTTTTTGTTTGTGTTTTATTCTTGGTTCATTTCGGATCTCCAGTATCCGCAATTCTCAAGTTTTACTTGCCGTAGCTCCCTGATTTACGACTGGTGGTGTGGTGGGTTAGAGAGAGCTTTGCAATGCAAACGTGAGATTCTGGGCGGCTTGCAGACTTTCCCGTCTCCTCTTCCCTTCCCAGGCTACAACTGTCATTCAGAAGCTGCAGCTCCCGTCCATTCATAAAACCGAGAAAAAGGGCGCGCAGCCCGTGTGTGTGTGTGGAGAGTGAGTGTGGTGGGAGGGGGCGGGGCCTGCAGCCCAGAGCGTGGTATGCTAATATCCCAGGCGCGCTGACGGCGTGAGGTTGCCTAGCAACGTTCCAAAATAGAACGTGGCCAACGTCAGCGCGTCGCGGGGGGGGGGCCGTGCGTGCGTAACGTCAGCAGGAGCATTCCAATACGTCAACCTCCTTACGCACCGACACGGCCAGGTTTCCAAGTCGGCTGGAAATCGATGCAACCGATCGATAAACCGATTCTAATTCATGACTTGCCGGAAATGCAACGCCTCGGATACACTCGTCAATTGCACGGGGCGCGCTGACCAATTTTCTTTTTGCAAAAACAGCCGCCGCTTGCACCAATGCAGCTCGGACTGTGTGACATTAGCGCAGGGATCAGTCAGTCACCGAGGTGCTGCCAAAACATTTGGCTGTCTCAGTGCAGAAGGTAATGAGGAAGGGGAGGAGCGGGTGTTGTCAGTGGAAAGTTTGGATCCCTGTCCCTTTACAACCAGACCTCCCACACAGAGCATGCAAACAATCAAGACAGGCAGTTACCCGAAACCTCTTCCCCCACTCGATAAACTGGAAAAAGTTAAGCTGCGTTCACTTTACCTGGGCTGTGGTGGTCGGGCTGCCCACGCTGTGGCTGAAGGAGTCCACGGATGACAGGTACTGAGGCTCCGAAGGGGAGGAACTGCAGCGGGAAGCCGAGTCAAAGTCGCCTGAAAATCCCTGGTACATGTCCTCCCAGTCGGTGATGACCCAGGATTTGTCGCCCCTCGGATCCAGTTTCTGGGTTTTTTTCCCTCTCTATTGTATGTGTAGTCTGAGTGGAACAGGCTGTTATCCGTAGGGGGAGATAAAACGCACCGCTGCTGCTGTAGTAGTAGCTCCTCAGTATTGCCGCTCTCTTTATGAATGAACCCAAATCCTCGGCTGCCTTCTTTTATATACTCGCGTGTTCCTCTGACGTCAGGTGCAATAGCAACACACCGAGAGAGGGGAGGGAGGTAAAACGGGCAAATTCTGCCTGGAAGCTGAGACCTGGAGACCCCCCAGACCGGCAGGAGTGAAGCCGGCAGAACTGGTACTGCTGATCGTCCGCTCGCAGCCTGCCCACTGTCCTTTATTGCGGAGAAAAAGCGATAAAACCCCTTTCGGCGAGGGAACTCCGCCCATCCGGGATCCCTGACGTACATGCCCAAATATGGAACTGTGTAGCGCGCTGTTTACTGGTAACCAAGCAATGACGTCAGAGGGAATCCCTCTCTAGACTGCAGCTTTATCAGAAGAAAGGCAAGTTTTTAAAATAGAAACCCCGGGCTTTATTTTTACAATTGAGGCGATAAATTTATCCTTTTTCGAATTATGGAGGTGATCGACATCCTCACCTCGGGGTGCAGGCCCCCTTGCCTCCTCTGATCCAAAGGCGGAGGATTTGACTGCAAGGGGATGCTCTTTCTGAGATCTTGCTGTGCGCACACTTGCCCTTTTTTACGACGGGTCAGCACCTCCCCCACCCCACCCCACACACAAACAATATTTTAACTGCCAGTCAGAGAAAGGAGCCGACCCATTCTCCGCTTAAATACCGAATTTTTGAGGGATTTTCAACTGAAACATTTGCTTTTCGGAATATAAAATATTCCTTGTTTATTTCTCTCTCTTGAGATCCTGTCTCCAGTTCTTCCAACCCAGAGGTCAGGGCGACAAAGAAAACAATTTGTCATTTCCTAAGTATGAATTGTTTTGACACCAGAACTGTTTGTCAGTAACGCCCCTTCAACCCCTGGCTTGGAATAACCAGTAGTTTTAGTTTTTCAAAGACTTTGTCTTATTTCAGTAAATTGCGTTTGCGGACTTGTCTGCTGTCTGGGTTAGTGGTTTGTATTTTAACTGTGAAAAGTAATTCCCTTGTTTGTTTTTGCAAGCTCCTTCAACTGTCTCTCTCGCCTTTCCACAGCTACTTGTATTTACATTCCAAGAGTGTGCAGTCGAGTCATTGGGCGTCCTGACTGTGTGAGAACGCGGCCTTGATTGACAATGGAACAAACACACACACACACACGTGGGTTTCCTGTAAACCGCTGAGCGATTGAGCTGAGATAAATGCAGTTTGACATTCTGGACTGCTTCATGAAAGAAAACATCACGGTCCCTACAAAGACAGAAAGTATTATTCAACTACTGGAAGCTTGTTCATTGATAAGAAACATTGTTCACGTCAAGTATTTCAGGCGTACATTTACATAGCGCCTTGCATGACACCAGGGGTGCACGTTGCGGCCAATGAAGCACGTTCCACTGTCAGGAATCAACCTTGCACACCAGGCAACATTCTAAACTTTTCAGTACTCCTGTACCTCTCTACTTGAGTGCATGGGATCATGAGAATTAGGCACGCCCATCTAATTCCACGTGTGCTCCACCACGACTTCCAATAATCTTTGACCCCCAGCTTGCTTCGCCATTCAATAAGATTCTGACGATTGACCTTCATGTTTCATCCCCTCTGAACTGACCTGCGGGTACATGGACTCCTCCCAATGGTGGTGAGAGGCAGGGGGTTGGGAGGAGGCCTAGCTCTTACAGAGATACCATAGACGCAGTGGGCTGAATGGCCAGTATTTGAAAGTGCTGGGACTCTGCTGACTCTTCTGCAACAGAAGCTGGAGAGGCAATGAGACAATTTCTGCTCAGGATGACCCAAGTCCCACACCATTGTGGCTTCAGCCAACACAATAGCAATCCCAGACGAGAATCTAGGATCTTCCTACCCTCTCTGCGTGACCCTGTAAGGTTCTTTGTTAACCCAGCACAACGTACAAAGAAATAGACTAACGCAAATTTCCAAAGAGATTATTTTTTTCGTACCTAAGATTTTATACCCAGGTACCTTTCTACCTAAGATGGTGTCGTGAATGGCAACATTGTAAACTTTTCGCTGTATTCCTGAATCCCTGTACTTGAGTACATGTGACAATAAAATCTAATTCTAATTCTTTTTTAATTCAATTAGAAACTTTAATGCAATAAACCAATATTTGAGAAATGGTAATGGACCATTTACCATGGAAATTTACAGCTTTCAGTTATGGAGCAAACAGAATTGAGAGAAAGTCACAAAATCCCTTTCCTGTTTTGTTTCAGTACCGCCCCCTGCAAGATGTTTGTGGAAAGCTTTGCATTAATGGGTAGATTTTGTTGGCAGTTACTTTGAGAGGATATGACTCTTGGAGTCCTGTGTTGGGGAGATAGCAGCTCAATTGTGATTTCCAACTGAATGACAATAGGATAGAGTTAGAAAGCCACACATCCAAGTTTGTCAGTGAAACAATGATTGTAAGTCATACCCAACAGAAACATATCACCACAAAGGGGTATTGATGGTTTGAACATATGTGCCAAACTATGTCAAGTGTCCCCTACAAGCAAGTGTGAGCCCTGCTACACTGGGTTCCTAAAACGAACCTCTTTATAAAAAAAATTGAAGGTGCAGAGAGCCTTAGGAGCCCGTATGTGCATTGATTAATAAAATGTTATAAGGAAAGATTGAGCAGGATGGTTCTGTGTTCTTTGAATCATAGAATCTGTACAATGTGGAAGCAGGCCATTAGCCCATCAAATCCACACCAAGCCTCTGAAGAGCATCCCACCCAGACCCACACCATCCATGTAACCCTGCATTTCCAATGGCTAACGCACCTAGCCTGCACATCCCTTGACACTGTGAGCAATTTAGCATGGCTAATCCACCTACCCTGTACACCTTTGGACTGTGGGAGGAATCCAGAATACCCGGGAGAAACCCACACAGACACGGGGAGAATGTGCAAACTTGACACAGGTAGCCAGCCCAGGATGGAATCAAACCCAATTCCCTGGCCCTGGGCAGCAGCAGTGCTAACTACTGAGTCACCGTATCACACTGGAGTTCAGAAGAAGAAGAGGTGACCTTATTGAAACATAGAAGCTCCTGAGGGGGCTTGACAGGGCAGATGCTAAGAGGATGTTCCCTTCATGAGGGAATCTAGAACAAGGGGGCACAGTTCAATGGTAAGAGGTCTCCTACTTAAAATAGACCTTGGTAGGAAATTCTTCTCTTATAGTGTTGTTAGTCAGTGGAATTCTCTCTTACAGAGAACAGTGGAGGCTGAATATATTCTGGGCTGAGTTAGATTTTGATTATCAAGGGCCTCAAAGTTTATTGGAAGTGGAGGGGAGGCACATATGGAATTAGATATAAGGCACCATTAGATCTCATTGACTAGCAAAGCATGGTTCAAAGGGCTGAATAGCCTACTCCTCCACCTATTTCTTATGTAACAAAAGATTAAAGCGCTCCTCAGAATGCTGGCTTTTTGTATCTCAGGGTCTAACATAGAACGCAGAAGAAGATTTGCTGCAGTTACACACAATCTTGGTTCTATCAGACCTGGAGTACTGTATTCAGCCCATGCATCAATTCTTAGAAAGTGTGCACCCGCCTTGAGGGAGTGCAATGTAGATTTACCAGAATGATTCACCAAAATTCCAAGGCTTAAATTATGAGAAGAGATTACACAAACTAATATGATATTCCCTGGAGATAGAAGGAACTGAAGATGCTGGAGAATCTGAGATAACAAGGTGTAGAGCTGGATGAACACAGCAGGCCAAGCAGCATCAGAGGAGCAGGAAAGCTGACGTTTCAGGTCGAGACCCAAGCTCAGCTTTCCTGCTCCTCTG